TTATCATACAAGTGAAAAAAAACCCCACAATGGCTAATAGCCATACCCTATCTTGGGCAAGAAAAGTAAGAACCAGGGGGAGGGACAGAAAGAACATTCAGGATGGATTGAAAACTTTTATGCCCCCAGGCCTGGTTTTAATTGTTTTCGGTCATACATTCTTCTAAGTGGTTTAGCACTGGTCTGTCCATTTGCTGTACAGAGGTAACTCGTGGTTGTTGTGATGCTAAACACTGTGACACTGATGAGTCAAATGCGATCAAGGTTACCCATGGTGGACAGTGTTTAGTGGAGCTCCATGATTAAAACAGGCTTGGAAGCAAGAGTGGCATCCACTTCTGAAATAGCTTGCCTCAGGAAACTCTATGAACTTGGAGAAAGTTATACAAGTGTTGAGGTCTTTCGTTCATAGGATCGCTATGAGTCGTCTATGACCTGACATGGCACATAACAACAACAACAACATGCTGTGATGGGGTATTGGTGACATAAACACTTGTCAAAAGTAATTGTTACAAAAAGTCATTTACAGATGCACTTAAGATCAGTACAAAGCACTTAATGTAAATTATTTTCCAATAGAAAAATATCATGGACAGACTCTGAAAACATCAAGCTCAATGAGCAAAGTCAGTTCTAAAAGGTCAGATACTGTCTGATTCTGTTCACATCAATGTCCAGAAAAGGCATTTCTATAAGGGGAGACAATGAGTTCGTGGCTGTCAAGAGGAGGGAGTGAGGAGTAACTTCTAATGGGTAGAGGGTCTCTTCTGGGGTGACTGGAATGTTCTAGGTGTGACAGTGGTGTGGCTGTGCAACTGTGTAATCATAATAAAAACCACTGGTTGATCTATCCTAAAAGGGGAAAGTTCACTAGAGGGTCTCTTCTGGGGTGACTGGAATGTTCTAGGTGTGACAGTGGTGTGGCTGTGCAACTGTGTAATTATAATAAAAACCACTGGTTGATCTATCCTAAAAAGGGAAAGTTCACAGCCTGTGAATTAGGTGTCATTAGGGTCCTTGGGTACCCAAAAATGTTAAATGCTTGACTGTGAGTGGAAAGGTTGGAAGTTCAAGTCTACCCAAAGGTGCCTTGAGCAACGGTCAGGGGATCTTGTTTTTGAAAGGTCACAGCCTGGACAAGCCTGTGGAGCTGTTCTACTCTGTACCCCTGGGGTCGCTGATGAGTGATGATCCACTAGGTGGCAGCTGGGAACAACGACCACCACAAAGGTGTAACTGAGAACAAAAGTTCTGACGAGGACTAAGGAGCAGTCAAGCACAAAAAGCCACACAGTGTCTGTCGTTTAAGTAAAAAATGCCCAGAAACAGGCAAATCCCTGGGCCTGGCGAAGCCAGCGGGATTCTGCTAACGGGTCTCATTTTGGGTGGTGATGAGAATATTCTGGAACCAGGCAGAGGTGGCTGATGGGTGCACAATGTGAATGTCCTAAATGCCTCTAAACTGAACTTAAAAACAGTCAACCCACTATTGTAAAATATCTAGAATGGGCAAGCGTGGCGAGATCAGAGTTGATTCGCAGTTAGTAGGGATGGGCAGAAGTGAGTGGAGAGGAAGGCACAAACTGGGGGATCCCCACCCTCCATCCCAAGTAATAGGAAAATTTGAGAACAGTTAACCAAGAAGGCTGACCATCACTGATAAACCTGCAGAAATGGCAAACGCTACATCTCCTACCATAAAACCAAGTGGCATGCATTATTTTAACGTGACAAATATTTTTTAAGGAAAGTAATGTGGGGAAAGCAGATTTAAAATTGATCTGACGTTCTGATAATACTTCGCTTAGAGCTGTCTCTGAGCCAATGGCTCCTGGGGGTATACGGCACCCCACACCCCATGACCCCACAGCGGGCACACACCCTGGGAGCGAGAGGCGGCGCCCCAGCCGCTGTATTGTCCCCCAGACTACCTGACAAGCCCAGCGCTGGCCGCGTCTGACCCATTCCCTGACCCCATGACAAAGGCCCTCTTTGTTCCCTGGTAATATCCTTAGCAGGTCTGTCTAGACGCCGCACTGTGGCAACAATTGTCCTGTGATGTCAACACGCCCTCGGCCAGCCCCTCCACGCTGGCTCAGGCAGAGACGGTCCAGGAGGCAGCCCAGCCCTGGCGAGGGAGGGGCACAGCTCACCTCTCTCGGCCAGCACTCAGGACCTACAGGAAACACTGCCATTCTAGGGAGACACACGGAGTTGTACCTCCATCCTCACAATACCCCACCTCGCAACGGTGTCTGGTGTGGGAACTGGACACTGTACAGGACCACAGTTCACTGGAGCTTCAGAAAAGACCCACACAGAGATGGAGAGAGACTCAGAGAGAAAGAGACAGAGTAACAATAGAGACATTGAGTAAAGTGAAGAGGGGACGAGAAAGAGAGTGAGAGGCTGGTGGCCAGGGAGGGATGAGGTTAACTTACACAGTAGACCCGAGAAATTCGCCGGCACAGAGAATAATCACCACCCACATTGTACAAGGCACACCAGGGTATACTTTCCTGGGGGCACACTGGACTTAGTCAATAGCCACACCTGATTGAGAACCTCTGCTTTCACCTAGGACCTCTAAAAAACCAAGTGGCAGCTCCCCATGACTGTACAGGGCCCCACTCACAATGTACTGTGTGAATCTCACACTCAATGCGAAAATGGGGGCCATGCAACTCCCTGTAGGGAAGGTCCTAGAACAGACAAAAGGCACTGATGGTGATGCAAGTCTGTACTTCTGAGTTACTGGGAAGAGGTTCAAGGGGGCTTCCGCCAGCAGAGACTACTCTAGATCTTGGTCTGCTCACAGGTGATGTCAGGATGCAAATATGCACAATTTCATGTTCTCAACATTCAGGCACTTCATGTTTTGTCAGTTGCTGTCAAATCAATTCCAATTCTTTTTTTCACTTCCAATTTTTGGCAGCCCCACCTGTCCAGGGTAAACAGGCTCTGGAGAGTTTGCACGGCTGTCCTTCCAGAAAGTTTGCCAGGGCCTTCTTTGGCTGTAGGGTCCGAACCACCAGCTTTCTAACCAGTAACTAAAAACTTAACCGTCTGTACCAGCCAGCAACTCTAAGATATCTAGACTGAGTAAGGTTGATGCCGTTTTAACTGCAGGTGGATCTTCTTGTTTTATAAACTTCAGGAGCCACGTGGGATGGTCTCCCGCAGAGGACAGGCAAGTTGGGAGACTGACAGAACAGACATTACCCCTCGGGCCGCCACAGGATTAAAAGGCTGCCACTCCCAATCACCCCAAGCCTGGAGGTGGAGGGATTCCCAAAGATTGTTTAATTGATTTTTCCTCTATTTAAGATGCAGATCACAGTGTCTGGGGCCCAGGAATTCAGACACACGCCTTTGTGTCCACTCAGGCCCGTGAAGCCTGTTGTCTGAAACCCCCACAAAGCCAGACACACACGGCTTCAGAAACACGCTGCTCCTTTATGTTTGGGCCCTGGGGAGAGGGCCGTGGACCCCTCCCACGTCCTGCCTGTAAAGTGAGGTGAAGATGAAGAAAAAGAGGAGGCGGCCTAGACTCTGGGGTCTGGAGCAGGGGAGATGCCAAAGGTGGGGGCCTCAACTGGGGGGCGGGTGGTGAAGCATTGAGACTTCACTTTGGACTTAAATTTGAGCTTGGAGGAGGACACTGAGGTGCCTTAAATCAAGGAGCTAATGGACTAGGATTAATATGGGGCTGACTCTGGCCCCGGCCATCTGATTTACACAAGAGGAAGACATCGTCCTCTTTCTGACTATTATCCCCCAGTCTGTCTGTCCAAATACTCTACTGGACAAAGACACCGGGAATCTTCTGAGATTCACTCTCCCCTCCACTAGTTCAGGACAGCAGAAAAGATTCCCTCAATCTGCAAGCTTCTCCTTCCCCAGCTGCCAGGAGAGGACAGCAAAGGTCACTGGGTCCCTTATCAAGTTAAGACATGGCCCTTGTCTGCCTGGTCCTCCTACTAAATTGCACTAGGGAATTCTCAAATGGGCCATACGGGGATCTATCTCTGTGTGAATGAAAAAGATTTTCACAAAAGGAGGAAAAACTGGATTACTCTTAGAGGAATAACGGTGAATCACATTTTCACAAAGCAGCTATTTTTATCCTCATCAGCCCTGAAGCCCTGGGTCTGTGGTCTCCGGTGGAGGTGTGGGGTACTTCTGAGCCAGTGTGGCTAATTCACCTCAAGTAACCCTCTTCACCACTCAGTCCATTAAAAGAGCCCAAGATCAGGCACAAACAGCCAAGCACTCGATGATTAGCTGAAAGGCTGGCAGTTCAAACCCACACAGAGGTGCCTTGGAAGATAGGCTGGCAACCTCCTGAAAGATGGAACACTGTGATTCTGCATGTGTGCACTTACCATGAGTGAGAATCCGCTCAGCAACACCACCACCATCCCTCCGACACCACCACCCCTCCGTGGGGATGCGGCAGCGGTGACGCAGTATGAGAGCTCTCGCTTTCCACACAGGAGATCTGGGTTCAATTCCCAGCCTCCATACCTCACACACAGCCAATCACCTGTCAGCAGCCTTCAGCTTACTATGAGGTCAAACAAGTTTTGGCAGTGCTTCAGATTAAAAGAGATTAGAAAGAAAGGTGTGGCAACAAATTTCTAAAATTCAGCTGGTAACCCAGGGGTCACCAGAGTCTGATCCACAATTTACTACAGGGATAGTAAAGGACTGGGCCGGGTTCTGCTGTGCTGTCATTTGGGGTCCCCTGGCAATGAATCAGGGATTAACTCTAGTGGCTAACAACACCTGGGGGAACTACAGGGAGAATTCAAATGCACACCAAATACTCCACACATGGCAAGTGGGCCACAAACGGAGCCACAGTGCTTTTCAGGGTTCTAGAAGAAGGTGAGTGCACCAGGATTAGATAGTCCAAGGACATGCCCCAGGGATGGCCGCTGTGTAGATTTCTCTCTCACAGGGGAGCCAGCCCCAACCCTGTGGCCACAAATTACCTGGACTGCGATCCAGCTGGCATTCACGGTGTGCTCCCCGAAAGGGCCAAACCCTAGAAAAATAGCAAAAACAGTAGGTCACTGAGGAATGTCACTGTGGGTGTCACTGCTGCTGCAGAAGGCACAGGAGCAGCTGTCACTGACAGCAACAAGGGATTGGTTCCAAGTTCCAGGGTGCCTCTGCCTTTCTGCTGTCAACAAGCCTAAGCACCTTCCCCCACCCCCTGCCCTCATCTCCACCCACCCCTCAGGCCCTACTCAGCTGTCTGTGTATGGGCTTCCCTTCTACACAGCTCCCCCTAAAAAGGGCACTGCAAGGTCTGCATAGCCACGTGATGTCCCCAGAATCTAGCCTGTCCACACTCCATGAAGCACACACAGCCCATGAGGAGTGGCCAATAAGGATGTGTGTGGTTCTCTCCCAGGCCAAGCCATTCAAATTTACCCCTGCCACTGCTTCCTACCCCCAACCCCAAGCTCCAGGCCCAACTTCTAAAACTTAACAGTCACTGTCTAAGTCGGGGCTACTGCTGATGTGCCAAGAGCCCCCTGAGGTGCTAAGCACTCCGTGTGGCATTGAGGACTCCCCTTTCAGGGACAAGAACTGATGGACCCATTTTACAGGAGTAGAGACAGAGGCACAGAAAGGGGAAGTTGGCTGCCCCAGATCACAGTATAAGAAAAGAGAAAGGCCAGGATTCTAAAGACGACGCATGAGATTTCACGTGGGATGCATCCCCTCTTCTACCCAGCTGATTAAGGTGCTTAAGTTTTGTTTTTTTTTAAAAAGCAGTCCCTAAATGTTCATTAAAATTATTAAAATAAAATTAAATTAAAAAAAGATAAACTTAAGGAAAAAAAGCTTCTAAGTAAAAGAGAAGTATGCAAGATCAGCCATCTCTAGAATGTTTTCCATGGCTCCCTAACTCTATTTTAGGACTTTGATTTGCCGAACACCAGGTTGCCAAGAAAATCTTGTTGTGGATTCATATGACACAACAAACTAAGATGAGGCTAGCTTAGTGGAAGGGGAAGTTATGGTATAGGCGAAGACATGCTGCTATGACAAGACAATCTGAGTCTCGTGGACTGAGCAAGCCTGGTGACAAGGGAAGAAACTACAGGAAGAGATTAAACAGGTGAGCCAGAAAGTTGAGGCAATCCACTCATTCTGTAACTTTTTTAAAAGATTTTTTTATTATTTGTGTACCATCCAATCAGATTTGATTGGTACAGAAGGAGAATGTTCCTCCTTCTCCAATAGAGCATCTGGTGGATTTGAACAACACACCTCTGGGATTGCAGTGCATATCCTTGCCACTAGGCCACCAGAGCTCGCCTCATTCTGTAACTCTTCAAATGCAGTTATTGTGATGATTTGAAACGTCCTCTGAGTGAGTCATTAGTGCAGAAAATATGTCTGGTATGACCATCTTCCAGCTCCACAAAGTCACATTTTATGACTCCAAAGGTGTACATAAGACTTGGCATTAAATTTCATCCTTCCACTTGGTACGTAGTTTCCTCAATTTTCACATGTAGAAAATTTACAAGAGCTTAATTATTGTTTTTAGGTGCCATCTAAAAAAAAAAAGATGGCAGGATTTCACGTGATGGTATGAATCAGATAGATTACATCTGTGGAAAGAACCACTGGAGAAGCTCAATATCAGCTATGAAAACTAGGCCAGGAGCTGACTGTGGAACAGACCACCAACTACTCAAATGCAAATTCAAGCTGAAGCTGAGGAAAATTAAACCAAATCCAAGGCAACCAAAATATGACTTTGAGTCTATCCCTCCTGAATTTCAGAACCATCTCA